CCACATCATCCCTTCCCCATCTGGACATCCAGTCCACCTGCTAACTAACCGCTGCTGAAGGGTCTTCCCCTTACAGTTGACAAACATAGGTGCCCATCTTTCAGTTTTGGTAGAAATGAAGGTTTTGGACCTACCTGAATGCCAGAGGGGCCGCTTCACCCCTCTCTGAGTCTTTGCCGCTAAGCCAGGTATTAAATGTCAGCGGGACTTGGGGAAGATTCACTGACTGCCCACTCTGGCCGTGGCAGGCAGAAGGCGGACGGTAAAGAGAGAGTGTGTGTGTGTGTGTGCGCGCGCGCGTGCCTGCAGATGTTCAGGCGAACACTGCTCTAACGGGAGTAACTGACTGTGACCTTTTTTTTGCTTTAGATGGTTGAGGGAGATATCCACCAGGGTGCACCCTCAAGATTTAACTATTTCCTTGCTGGTAAACAATGGACACACAGCCCACTGTTCATCTGTAAAGACAAAGGAAAAATCTGGTTGAAACCTTATTTATATTTTTATTGAAAAAATTTTAGAAAAACACAGAAGAAAATGAATATCATTGCTATGATTTAAATAAATACTATTATGAATCAATTGGGAAATTATTTTTCCTAAAGCAGTGACCATTAATACCATTGTTAATCATTATATATAAATATATTTCAGAGAGGAAGGGAGAGGGAGAGAGAGATAGAAACATCAATGATGAGGGAGAATCATTGGTGGGCTGCCTCCTGCATGCCCCATACTGGGGATCAAGCCTGTAATCCGGGCATGTGCCCTGACTAGGAAATGAACCATGACCTCCTGGTTTTTAGGTTGATGCCCAACCACTGACCTGCACCAGCTGGACCCATTGTCAGTCACTTTGACTTGGAGTTGTTCTTTGACAGTTTCACTTTCTCTAATGTAAGCCTCAGAAAGGAGTTCTAATTATTGGAGATCTATTACTAGCTTATATGAGGGAGCTTCTGTGTAATGTTGTACAAGGGAATGATCGAGACGGTGGGCTTTGGAGTCAAGTTGACCTGATTTTCTCTGCTCACTCTGCCATTTCCAGGTGGAGTTATATAATCTCCAAGCTTCTTTCCCCATCTCTGAAATGGGGATAATAGAAATATTTACGTTAAAAGGTTGTTGCAAATGATTAAATGAGATATTGGATTTAGAGTGCCCATCCAACTATGTTGGTAGCCTTTCCCACTCCCACCCCAAAAATTTCACAATCAAAGGAAGAATAAATGAAAGATGGCAAAAGTTGACTTAATTTTTGAATAGACTTTCTTTTTAAAGCAGTTTTAGGTTCACAGCAAATTGAGTGGAAGTTACAGAGATTCCCATATGCCTCCTGTGTCACTCATGCATAGCCTCCCCCATTATCAACACCCCCCCCAGAGGTACATTTGTTACAATCGAAACTACAGTGACACATCATTGTCACCCAGAGTCCATACTTCGCATCAGGTGTGATGTAGCCTGTGGGTTTGGACAAATGAAAAATGACCTGTATCTACAGTTATGGCATCATATAGGATAGGTTCACTACCCTAAAAATATTCTGTGTTCTGTATATTCATACCTCCCTCCTCTTTTTACTGTTCCCATAGTTTTGACTTTTCCCGAATGTTACATGCAGGCATACCTAGGAGATATTGTGGTTCCAGACTACTGTAATAAAGTGAGTATTGCAATAAAGTGAGTTATGATCATTTTGCTGGGGAGGGTCTTGCCTTCAATTTGCAAAAAAACAACAACAACAAAAAAACCATTTGTGAAGAACAATAAAGTAAAGCACAGAAAAATGAGGTGTGCCTGTAGTTGGAATCACGTAGTACGTTTTCAGATTGGTTTCTTTGCCTTAGTGATATGCATTAAAGGTTCCTGGCTTGATAGCTCGGTGTGTGTGTGTGTGTGTGTGTGTGTGTGTGTGTGTGTGCGCGCGCGCACGCGGCCAAGGTCATCTAGGCTTTCTTCCACGTTTTCTCCTAGGAAATTTATGGTTTGTGTTTTACATTTAGGTCCATGGTCCATTTTAAGTTAATTCTTGTGAAGGGTGTGCTGTCTGTGGTTAGATTATTTTTTTTCTGCATGTGGATATCCAGTTGTTCCAGAATCATTTGTAGAAATACTGTCCATGCTACATTGTGTTGCCTTCGCCCCTTTGTCAGAGTAGTGTATTTATCCACTTTCCTACTGAAAGACATCATGGTTGTTTCCAGGTTTGGACATTTATGAATAAAGCTGCTATACGCATCCATTTGCCCGTTTTTGTGTGGGCATAAGTTTTAGCTCCTTTGGGTAAATACCAAAGAGTGGGATTGATGGATCATATGGTGAGTGTATATTTTGTTTTGTAAGAAAATGCCAAACTGTCTTCCAAAGTGGCTGTGTGACTTTGCATTCCAGCCATGCACTGGAGTTCCTGTTGCTGCATATTCAGTGTTGTCAGTGTTCTGGGTTTTGGCCATTCGGATGGCTGTATAATGGTATCTCATTGTTTTAATTTGCATTTCCCTGATGACATATTATGTGGAGCATCTTTCCTGTGCTTATTTGTCATCTGTATATCTTCTTTGTTGAGCTGTCTGTTAAGGTCTTTAGACTTGTCATTTTTTTGTTTTTGTTTAAAGCAATTAATTAAATATGGCCACCTATTCTTTAAATTACTCTGTTTTATTATTGTTGAATTTTAAGAGTCTTTTTGTGTTTTGGATAACATTTTATCAGATATGTCTCTTGCAAATATTTTCTCTCAGTCTGTGGCTTGTGTTCTCATTCTCTTCACAGTGTCTCTCAGAGAGCAGAAGTTTTTAACTTTAATGAAGTCTCTCTTATCAATTATTTCTTTCATTGATCATGCCTTTAGGGTTGTATCTAAAAAGTTGTCGAGATATCCAAGGTCATCTAGGCTTTCTTCCACGTTTTCTCCTAGGAAATTTATGGTTTGTGTTTTACATTTAGGTCCATGGTCCATTTTAAGTTAATTCTTGTGAAGGGTGTGCTGTCTGTGGTTAGATTAATTTTTTTTTTTTGCATGTGGATGTCCAGTTGTTCCAGAATCATTTGTAGAAATACTGTCCATGCTACATTGTATTGCCTTTGCTCCTTTGTCAGAGATCAGTTAACTATATTTGTGTCTATTTCTGGGCTGTCTATTCTATTCCATCGATCCATTTGCCTTTTCTTTCACCAATGCCGTAGTCTTAATTATTGTAGCTGACATAATTTTAAAACAATTAATTAAAAACTGTTGCATCAAGAAAAATATATACCACCTAGTAAGCCTATCACATAACCATAAAAATGTTCATTTCTTTATGCTCTATTCTAATGTTTATCCAAGGTCTCAGTCTGCCAAAGTGCTCAGCATAGAAACTAAACTGTGAAATAGTAAACAATTTATTGTATGTCCACTATGAACAGTCATGGGGAGAAATGGGGAAAAATCACGGACATAGATCTTTCCCTTAAGGAACATGCATGATAGTAGGATGAAGCAACTTTTGATTGTGGATAAAGATGCCCCACATTCTTCCCATACTTACCCTTAAAAGTTCACCAAGAAATCTCAATTATAGGTTACTCAGCCCATTCTTAAACCTTGAGGCAGAATCAAATTCAAACTCCTCCTGAAATATATTGAAATATATTGATTTTGCCTACCTTAAATCCAAGAAACAGTGGACAATTAAAGAATACAAATCAGTGTAATTACAGAATAAAATAATTTTTATTCCACAGAGGACATAAAAGTAATGTGATATACTGACATAGTAATTGAGCAAAAAGCAAGCATAATTGGAGAAAAATAGAATGTCAGAAATGGAAGACAGCTTCAAGTCCAGTCCCTTTATTTTTGCAATCAAACAACTTACGGCCAGAGAAGTTAAGTAACTTGACCAGGGTGACAGAGCTGCAGGTGTGTGTACCTAGTGGGTTGAGCGGAGGTAGGGGAGAAACGCTGTTCCGTGAACTCATGACAGTGTTAACCAAGAAGCCCAGGGCACCCCTCAAGCATCTCCACCCCTATTTTATAAATGCAGAAACAAATTATATTGTTGCTCAATGAGTTAGTGTTTGAAGTAAGGCTGGTGTACTTTTTTTTTTTTTTAAACTTTTGCACAAGCTCTTTTTAATCTGGGAAGTAAGCTAATATACTGATTCCCTACAGTGTCACTGCGACTTTGAAAGGAAATATGTGTTGCTTTGGTTTGCCCTTACTGGATTTAATCCGGATTTTGGATTTGCTGCCCACAGTACTCCCCTTGCGTCGTACCTCTCTCTGTAAAGGTTTTACGGAAGTGCCTGCTGAAATGTCCTCTTCTTCTTTTTCTTCTTCTGCTGCTCTCTCGCCTTCATGTTTTTCTTCTCCTTCCAGCTCCTTCTTCCTAGACTGCACTACTTCCTCCAGTTCTTTATTTCTTATCAGGGTAAAATGAAGCTTTTCATTTGTGTCATCAAACTTCTCCTCTGCTTGTCTGGCTCGGTTTTCAAGCTCTATTAACTTGTCCTGCATATGTTCAATTATAGATATTGCTTCACGATACGTTGAGGCCAATGTACCTTCATTAGCTGCTTCTCTCCATGAAGATAACCTATTTGATCCAGATAGAGGTCTGGAATAAACGTTTTCATCTTCTCCAATGAATCGAATGAGTTTTTCATCCTCCGTAGATGTTGAAGGTTCTTCTGCTTTCTCCTCTTCTTTCTTCTCAAATTTATCCTCTGTACCTTCTTCTTTATCCTCTTTAAAAGGTGTGTCGATTTTTAGCCAGGATTAACTCTTTTATAATGTCCTTTCTGAAGTGGGAGACAACATCCTTCACCAAGAAAGTGGAGAGAGGCCGGCAGCAGCAGTGGGTTCGGTTGCGCGTGGCGCCCGGGGTGGGAGA